CAGAATTCTCTGGAGAAATTCTAAACAGTCCCATAAAAGCTACTCTCTTGGATTTTATCTTGCAGCAGATGGCTTTCATTTTCTATATCTTACAGCAAAACTGCCAGTTTCCTTCAATCATTTTTATCTCCCAACTTCAGCACTCATTGAAACATCTACTGTTTTAGTTTGTCCATCCTCTGAGTGAAATTCGTATCCTGATTATTGTCAATTCATTTCTCTTTCTATCTTCTGTGTGTGTTGTAAACAATGATTTGCTGCCTCCCATGTGTTTCACAGGATAAATTGTAGCTATCAGCTAAAACAGCCACCTCCCTTATTGTAGAAATTTTACAGCCGACTAGGTGCGATTTGATCCTAAAGGAATTTTTAAATTTCCCCATTAAAACCGCTTAAAGCATTTCAAAATCTTCAGCTGCATGCACTGAGACCCTTTCCTTTTCTCTAGAAAATTCCAAAAGTGTCTAATTCTGTCAGTTCTTCAGGTTTCTAAGTTTTTGTGCATGAGCTTCGGAACTAGCTCATTTGCATTAAGCACCAGAGTCTTCATTTTATCATATTGTGCAGAATGTTCATTGGAGAGGGTTACGTAAGCCTCCAAAGTACTTTGTAATGGGATTGTCAAAATGTTTGGTAGGCACTGCAATTTCATAGCAATTTTTTCAAAGTGTATAAAATATATTCCACCTCCTTCCTCACTGAATTTAGGCCTTAGGCAAACATTTCTTGCCAAATCAAAACCAGGAATTAAATCTGACCGAAAAAACTCAAAGTGGTTCTGAGGAAGGGCCATTCATCCCAAAATGTTAACTCTGATTTCTCTCCACAGATGCTGCCAGACCTGCTAAGCTTTTCCAGCAATTTCTATTTTTGTTTCTGATTTGCAGTTCTTTCAGTATTTAATTAAATCATCAAACATGTCTGATACACATTGTTCTTGAAATCAAAGTTCTTCCCCTCTCCAGTTCAAATTTTCTGGCTTCCCTTTTTCCTTTCTCTTGGATTTCTAATTTAGGTTTTTGCATTTCCCCTTATTTAGAACCATGAACACCTACTGTGTTGAAACAGGCCATTCAGCCCATCAAGTCCACACCTACCATAATCCACTAACCCTGCATTTCCCATGGCTAATCCACCTAGCCTGTGTATCCCTGGACACTATAGCATGGCCAACCACTTAACCTGTACATCTTTGGACTGTGGGACAAAACCAGAGCACCCAGAGGAAGCCCACACAGAGAACATGTGAACTCCACACCGATAGTCATCAAACATGGGTCCCTAGCACTGTGAGGCAGCAGTGCTAACGACTGAACCACCATGTTACTTCTCAAACTCAAATCTTTGTTTTGTTTTCTATCTGCTTTGCGTTCAAGTAATTTTATTTTCTCTTTTATTTTTTTCTTCTGTTTCAAGTTCAATGTGTTTCATTAGCATAACCTAAATCCTCACCAACTCAAGCTGGATGGTATCTGGATTACCTTTTTCATCCTCAAAGTTGAGCCAATGATCCCTTACTTCTCAATGCCCACTTTCAAATCTTTTTCTAATGTTTCTGCCATCACTTTTAAATGACCTTTTACAATTGTAACAAAGACAAATTCACTCTTTTGAAGAAACCTCCACAAAGGGCAAACATTTTTAAGCATTCAACAAATATAGTTAATGTCATTGTGAAATGTCATTCTTTTAAACTTTAGCAAATTAGAGAGAACTCATTTCAGGCTTTGGATTTAAATATCCACAAAAAGCTGCCAATTTTGTTATGAGCTCAATGGAGGTTGATAACTTGAAAAGAGATTCAAAATCCCACTTACTTACTAAAAGAATGACATCATGTGATTTTATGGGCTTCCTGATGGCGAAACTGTCAAAGACAGTTCTTTAAAGTTTGCACATTACCAAATTATAAAGGGGGGGCAATGGCCTAGTGGTATTATCACTGGACTGTTAATCCAGAGACCCAGATAATGTTCTGGGGACCTGGGTTCAAATCCTGCCACAGCAGATGATGGAATTAGAATTCAATAAAAATATCTGGAATTAACAATCTAATGATGACCATGAATCCATTGTTGATTGTTGGAAAAACCAATCTGCTTTGTTAATGTCCTTTAGGGAAGGAAACTGCCATCCTTACCTGGTCTGGCCAACATGTGACTCCAGACCTACAGCAATGTGGTTGACTCTTAACTGCCCTCTGGGCAATTAGGGATGGGCAATAAACACTGTCTAGCTAATGACACCCTCATCCCATGAATGAATAAAGAAAAAAAAGTTCCAGGGGTAACAATTATAGATTTATGCATTTTCTCACAATCAATAATGTAGGAAAACATTTTACACTCAGATGTTAATATTTGTCTGTGATTATTGTTATAACTAAAATACAGTAATGAATAGAGTATATTAAATTTAATCTTTGATTTCAGGTTTGAATATGTGTGCTACTGGAAACCATGACTGTGAGCAAATATGTGTGAACACTACAACAGGGTATAACTGCAGGTGTCGTCCAGGTTTTATATTGAACGAGGACCAGAAAACCTGCTCATGTAAGTCACATTCCACTCAGGGCTTGCAATGTGCTGCTCTGGAAAATCATATTTGATTGTAGCTGATATAAGCCTGATGATAATAATTGTGTATTCTTTCAGTCTCACACAGTTCTTGTAAGGTTTAGGGTTGTGCTTTGCCATCCTATATTGGGCCAGAAGGGATGCAGGCAGGAGAAACATATAGCTATCGCATGACCTGTGTTCCCTCTGCAAATAGCTTTTGTGGTAGTGAGGTTGAGAGTGGCCGGCTGAAATTACAACATCCCTAATGCATTTAAGGGGTAAGTAAAAAGACATTTTTTTCAGACTGTCTGTGACTTTACAGGAGGCAGCCAGACCTTGAGAGCCCTCAGTGTTCAGATGTTCATCCTGGAGTTCAGTTACTAGTGGTGTACCACAAGGATCTGTTTTGGGGCCACTGCTGTTTGTCATTTTTATAAATGACCTGGATGAGGGCGTAGAAGGACGGGTTAGTAAATTTGCGGATGACACTAAAGTCGGTGGAGTTGTGGATAGTGCGGAAGGATGTTGCAGGTTACAGAGGGACATAGATAAGCTGCAGAGCTGGGCTGAGCGGTGGCAAATGGAGTTTAATGCGGAAAAGTGTGAGGTGATTCACTTTGGAAGGAGTAACAGGAATACAGAGTACTGGGCTAATGGTAAGATTCTTGGTAGTGTGGATGAGCAGAGAGATCTCAGTGTCCATGCGCATCGATCCCTGAAAGTTGCCACCCAGGTTGATAGGGTTATTAAGAAGGCGTACGGTGTGTTAGGTTTTATTGGTAGAGGGATTGAGTTTCAGAGCCATGAGATCACGTTGCAGCTGTACAAAACTCTGGTGCGGCCGCACTTGGTGTATTGCGTACAGTTCTGGTTGCCGCATTATAGGAAGGATGTGGAAGCATTGGAAAGGGTGCAGAGGAGATTTACCAGGATGTTGCCTGGTATGGAGGGAAGGTCTTATGAGGAGAGGCTGAGGGACTTGAGGCTGTTTTCGTTAGAGAGAAGAAGGTTAAGAGGTGACTTAATAGAGACATACAAGATGATCAGAGGATTAGATAGGGTGGACAGCGAGAGCCTTTTTCCTCAGATGGTGGTGGCTAGCATGAGGGGACATAGCTTTAACTTGAGGGGTGATAGATATAGGACAGATGTCAGAGGTAGGTTCTTTACTCAGAGAGTAGTAAGGGCGTGGAATGCCCTGCCTGCAACAGTAGTAGACTCGCCAACTTTAAGGGCATTTAAATGGTCATTGGATAAACATATGGATGATAGTGGAATAGTGTAGGTTAGGTGGGCTTCAGATTGGTTTCACAGGTTGCTGCAACATCGAGGGCCGAAGGGCCTGTACTGCGCTGTAAGGTTCTATGTTCTATGTTCTATGTTCTATGGTAAGTGCAGGTAAGTAGCAGGTTAGCAACAAGTTAGGAAGAACATTTTCTTTTAGTGACAGATCATCTAACGTGGGAAAGTGCTCATTCCCTGAAATGGATAATAGAAGTGCATCGAAGTACAGTGGAAGAGGCAGAACGTTATCACTTAATGGGTTGTCATCTACCTGGCATCACCTGGACAATGGATGACTGACCAAGGTTGCTGAGACTTCATCAGGCCAACATGGAAGAATGCAGATAGAAATGGATACTGCACCCTCAGAAATAGAAAGTAATGAAGCTGCAGAGGAGAAGTGTGCACAAGACTGAAGGTGCCCTGGGCATTAAGACACCAGAGGAGAAGAATAGTCACCAAAGAGGGTGAGATACTACCCTCAGCGCAGGAAGGCTACCTGGACATGTTGGAAATTCATTGCTGCAGGACAATGCAATACTCCAGTCAAATGCATCCTCAGAGAGGAGCTCACTCCTTACTCCGCTGATGGCTATGCCCTGCCAGTCAAGGTAATCATGCCCGTGAAATTCTTCTTTAGATCCTTCCAAGGTGCAGCCTTTGGATCTCTGTGGAATTTCAGGGTTGAGTGCTCAGCACCGGCGCATCCAGGTGACAGATCCCTTTTTCCCAAGACTGGAAACTACATCAGATTTCCAAATGATGGAGCTTTGTCAGCTCACAGGGCACTAGGCTTCACTGCCATTTTCTGTTGCTCCAACTACAGGGCATAATTCATTGTCATATTGCCATTGAGGCACACACTGACCAACCAGAAAACTTCACTAATAGGAAGAATTGGCACTTACTGAATGTGCAGCTCATCTGTGAGCACAAGGAGATCTTCCTTCATGTCCATGTATGGTAATTGCTATACCTTCATTCTCCATTAGTCAGGCTTTCCTAGCTAATCTGTCTCACCTCCCAAATCCATGGATAGATTTTTGGGGAATTATTATCTGGTAAGATAGTTCATCACGATTCTATAAGAGTAATGGCCCGAGCCCGTTTGCTCACCGGAACCTTCATAGAAAAGCCCAAGATGCTAAAGATGTACTTTTGCTGTCAACTACTTGAGTGTTGCCCTGCAATACACCATCTGCAAGGGTCTCTTAAATAGTTGTTATTTGCTTTGTCCTTTACAATATCACAAGGATGCAGAGACAATGGAAGGACTGAGCTCATCTGTGAAACAGAAGGAGCACGATGTGGGAGAAAGTACACAACAACAGGTTATAGTCCGACAGGTTTATTTGAAATCACAAGCTTTCAGAGCGCTGCTCTTTGTCAGGTGCAGTCACTTCACTTCCTTAGGACTGTGTGATCTTACCTTCATGGAGGTTTGAATTACTGCCTGGAGTCCTCACTGTCGCCAGTGAGAAGCCACTGTTTAGTTCACACACTACTATTACTGTTTTGTACTATTTTGCACAAAGTTAATATAATTGTGCATCGTGTTGCAAAGGGGTTTTCTTTGAAATCTTGCCCCATCAAGAGAGACTTTCCGGTGTGTGTTTCAAGTAAACGCAACAAAGAGGCAGCAGAACAATTTTTAACTGCACTCCACACACATGCCAACAGTTCAAGCAGAGTATGAAGCAGCAGTCACAACAAAGTCTACTGAAGCGAGCCTTTTATCTATCCACACTGAGGTGAGCCCACCTTCAACGCTGCCTCCTGTCTGCCTCTTCAGGTTGCAGATCCACCACTAAAATCAAGATGGAGAGAAAACAACTCTGAGTGATAGTGTGAAGTTCCCATATCCAGCACATTACCCATATTCAGCAACAACAGCATGCATTTATAAAGCACCTTCACATCGTAATATGTCACAAGGCACTTCTCAGGAATATTACCAAATACAATATTCAGACAGGTGACCAGAAGCTTAAGTTAGTTTGTGATGAGTGTATTGAAGGAGGAGAGACAGGTGGAGAGCTTCATTTAACTTTAGTCAAACACTACATAGTTGAGTCTGAATGTCCAATGATATGGCTCAACTCCATTGTACAAGTAATCTCTATGGAGGTCCACTCCTCAGGACACTAGGGTACAGAACTTTTCTTACATTTCCCATGCACCTATTTTTGTGGAACATGCTAACTTTCTGCTTTTGATTATTGGAGCATTGAATTTAGGTTGGATTTCAGCTCCATTTTTTTTAATGGATAAGAGGCACTAAATTGATTTATAACTTTCAGGTGTGGATTTGTGCGCCATTGGAAACCATGACTGTGAACAAATATGTGTAAGCACAGCAACAGGCTATCACTGCAAGTGCCATACAGGTTTTATATTGAATGAGGACCAAAAAACCTGTGCAAGTAAGCTACATACTTCTGTCAAAATTTGACACTTTAGAACACTTTCCCAAAATATTACACCATTATTTTATAAAATATTAATCAATTGATTCATATATCCTGAGCCCTAGCTCAATCTGGCAATACGTATTATGCTAATTTTTTGCAACAATTAACACTAATATTGAGGTGGAATCCACTGGACATTTGACATACTTCTTTGAATTAATTTTCCTGACACTTGCCTGTTTTACTTCTAAACCATTATTGTCAAAAAGCATTTTTTACTGGAGTGGAATATGATTTCAATAAATGACATTTAATCTGGTATTTTTGCATGGATAGTTTTCATTTCAAAATCATTGAACAATTTTCTATGCCATTTCACAAATGCAGTTAAATTATTAGTCCGTCTATACAAGCAAAATCGGAATGGTAACCATGCCTGTAATCATAGAATAGAATTTTACTTTGCAGAAGAAGCGCAGAGAAAGATCACTATTCAAGATCCATGCAAGTGTGAAGCTTTGCTTGATTTCCAAAGGGACGTTGAATCCAATTTCCAAGCACTGGCTAGTAAAAATATCCTTTTTAATAATTAGTTTTGTATCTCTGTCCAGATTTCTTTTGTTCCAGGTCACTTAATGGATTTTGTAACTAAACTTATGTGCCTCTGCAGATCTATATGAAGTTAAAAAGTTGATGAAGGAATAATAGAATATATTAAGGCAAATGAAAAATGTTTTTACTGGTGATTCTGGTTACTTATAACTGCACAAACATTACATTTTGAGCTTTCTGATAGATGCAGCAGATACACATACAAGTGTGGTCATATGTGGTCATATCTGGCAAGTGGATATTGCTAACATTTGGCTGGCAATGTGCAGAAGTTTAGCTAATATTGTTAAATGTTAATAGAAAAACATCAGCACTGATTCATATCCTTCTATTATATGGATGATACAGATGGATATTGATTGATTACGTCAATGATGTCACTGTCATGCCTGTAGGAAAGGATTAGATGGATCATGAAAATCAGAATTGATTGAAAGAAACAAAATAAAAGTAGAGTCATAGAGCCATAATGATGTATAGCACAGAAACAGACCCTTCAGTCCAACTTGTCCATGCCAACCAGATATCCTAAATTAATCTAGTCCCATTTGCCAGCATTTGGCCCGTATCCCTCTAAATCCTTCCTGTCCATAAACCCATCCGGATGCCTTTTAAATGTTGTAATTGTATCAGCCTCCACCACTTCCTCTGGCAGCTTGTTCCATACACACAATACCCTTTGTGTAAAAAAGTTGCCCCTTAGGTCCCTTTTAAATCTTCCCCCCCTTACCTTAAACCTATGCCCTCTAGTTTTGGACTCTCCCATCTCGGGAAAAGACCTTGTCTATTTACCCTATCCAAGCCCCACATGATTTCATAAATGTCTATAAGTTCACCCCTCAGCCTCTGGCACTTCAGGGAAAGTAGCCCCAGTATATTCAGCCTCTTCGTATATCTCAAACTCTCCAACCCCAGCAACATCCTTTTAAATATTTTCTGAGCCTTTTCAAGTTTCACAACATCTTTCTTATAGAAGGGAGACCAGAATTGCACGCAGTATTCCAATAGTAATCTAACCAATGTCCTGTACAGCCGCAATATGACCTCCTACCTCTTATAGGCAATGCACTGACCAATAAAGGAAAGACCTCAGTGGATACCTCACTGACCAATCCCCAAAACTGCCTACCTGCACTCACCTATCGCCATCCCACCTACCTTCCCCAGGCCGTCTCATCCCCGCCTCCTTGACCTGTCCGTCTTCTCTCCTCTCTATTTACTTCAGAGCTCCCTTCCCCCTCCCCCATTTCTGAAGAGGGGTCCTGATCCGAAACGTCAGCTTTCCTGCTCCTCTGATGCTGCCTGGCCTGCTGTGTTCATCCAGCTCCACACTGTGTTACCTCTTAAGCATACCAAACACTTTCTTCACTATCCCGTCTACCTGTGACTCCACTTTCAAGGAACTGTGAACCTGCACTCCAAGGTCTCTTCTGTTCAGCAACACTCCCCAGGACCTTACCTTTATGTTTATGAGTCCTGCCTTTCCAAAATGCAGCACCTCACATTTATCTAAACTAAACTCTATCTGCCACTCCTTTTTATTGTGAAAGATAATGCTTGATTCGGTCAGTAATATACAGTTCATAACTATTGTAAGGTTATATTGACCAATCCAATGTTGTAATCCTTAACTATTTCATACTTGATCATGTAACAAAAAAAATGCAAGCATTTGAAAACGAGCTGGGTCGATTCTGAACATTGTGCGAGCATTCTTTTTGAAGAGTGCATGTTATTTGTCATTTCTGTTTGGCTAACTGACCATTTTATTGAGCACAGTTCTTTCCAAGCTTTTATTATAATCTTGATCTGACTAGTTACTTTTATTTCTGTGCTGCAACTATAGGTTTTAAAACAAAGCAGAAAATAATAAGATATGCCATGAAGAAAACTGAAGCCATTCATTCAGGTGTTATTATATATTGGGTCAGTTGTTGAAAGTATTGATTTTACTACTGTGACATATTGCATAAATGATATATCAATATTAGTCTTAACTGTATACACTTCATAAATAAGTAAGTTAGTAGATAAAAGAAATTAGGAGTAAAGGAATGCTTAAATATATTATGTACAAAATTTACTACCTGATTGATCTGTTTTATTGTCATAAATACCATATTCTGGACATAAATGACCATTGATTCTTGTCACAGATAAAGAGTAATGCTATAGGCAAGAATATGCATAATATATATTTGAATTCAATTTTAATGTATTCTATTTTCAAATGCAGTAAAATGTATATTTGATAGTAAAGAAGTTAAATAAATTGTTTTGTTTTCAGATGTTTGTGTTCTCAGTTCAACTATTATCGTAGTTTATGTAGAAGTATGAAAGATTGTGAAAATGCACCAAATGACTAGTATTCTATTCATTCACTCCCAAAAGTGTGCATTAAAATTTACCTTTGATTTTATTAAACTTTGTTTATTTTCAATTACTTTGCTTTTGTATATTGAGCTACACCATCTCTGGATCTAATTTGATCCGATTCTTACATTTACCTGTTGGTGTTGAACAAAACATTACCCCAGCTCCCTTAAAAATCTATATATTAAAAATCAAAGTCTAATTATTTGAAGTATTTAGTAACAAAAAAAAGTGAAATCTTACAAAACTTGCTGCATTCCCTACCTGATTCTTCCTGTCATATATCTCAGTGTACCAGTTAGTATCATCATCACATTGAGGATAATTCTTTATGTAGAAGGCTGGATTTAAATATCAGAGTTGCCTATGAGTTCACAGATGTCTTATAAGACCTGCCTTAGCCTAATAGGCTCCCCTACAATGAGGACAACATTTTATGGCCAACAGAGGTGGTGATGGACTGTTGGCTTGAACAGCTGCCTTTGCTTTATGTCCTAATCTTCACTCTCAGCGACTGCACTTGTTTATGAGAAGATCTTGACACCATTTTTAATAACAATTTGCTATTTTAGTTGTGATTTCATGTTAATTGCATAGATGTTCATTGAGTTTTTGAGAGAGTCTTTGAAACATTTCCTTTCTATTCTCTCTTCTCATGTAATCGATTGAGTTTCCTCTGAAAAGTGTTCAAACTATTTGCCTGTGGTAACAAGTTCCATATTGTAATCACTGTTTGAGTAAACAAAATTCTCCTTATTTCTCAATTGGATTTACCAGGAGCTATCTTGTTTTTAATGGCTCCTTGTTTAGACTGTCTCTAAGTGAAAACTCTCTCCATCAATCCATTCATAATTTTAAAGGCTTCTATCAGGTATTTTTCAGAGTTTTCCTCTATCTAAAGATAAGAATCTCAGTCAGTTGAAGCTTTCCCACTGACTCTGACTGAGAATCTCTAAGTTCTGGTGCACTTATATCTTTTCCTTACTATAAAAAAAAGTGTGCAGAACAGTATACACATGTGGCCTGGCCATAGTCTCATACAAATTTAACATAACTTCATTATTTTTAAATGTTATACCCCTAGAAAGAAGCTCCAGTTTTTTTTCAGCATTTTTAAAATTACTTTGTTTACAAAGTTGCCAAGATGATTTTTATCTACCTATCTCCCCAGGTTGCTGTGATCTTCGTCAACATTAAACTTCACATTTTCTTGATGGTAATGATACATGTTTCCCTATCAAAGTATATCACCTCATTTTTAACTGTGTTAAATTTGCAACTTTAACTGTCCAGTTTGTAATATTTCCATAAAAACCAAAGCTGGAAATCAGAAACATAAATAAAAATTGCCAGAAAATTTCTGATCCGGCAGCATCTGTAGAAGGAAAGCAGAGTTCACTTTTCGGATCCAGTGACCCTTCTTTAGAACTGGAGAATTTTCCAATATCTTTTTTATTGTGCATATTGTTCCTTAGCCTTAGTTCAATCTCCACTATCATTCACAAGTTTACTTATTCCTGGGTCTGAATCATGAATCCAAATCACAACCAACTGTAGTTCCAGATATAATGCAGTGTGGACCCGAAGGAATGCAGCAGGCCAGGCAGCATCTGAGGAGCAGGAAAGTTGATGTTTCGGTCCCGACCCAAAATGTCAACTTTCATGCTCCTCTGATGCTGCCTGGCCTGCTGTGTTCCTCCAGTTCCACACCGTGTTATTTCTGACTCCAGCATCGGCAGTTCTTACGATCACCAACTGTAGTTCCAGGACTTTTTTCTTATTTATTCACAAGTTGTAGATGTGACTGGCCGGGCCAGTATTTATTGCCTTTCCCTAATTGCCCAGTGGGCATTTAAGAGTCAACCATATTGCTGTGGGTCTGGAGTCACATATAGGCCAGACCGGGTAAGGATGGTAGATTTCCTTCCCTAATGAACATTAGTGAATCAGATGGGTTTTTCTGACAATCATTAACAGTTGACTCTTGTGCTAGACTTTCTACTTTCCTCCAATCTGAATAAATATGCTTTACCCCCACAACCTGTCTGCAGCTCCTATGTTTACTTGTGCATTTATATGATTTGCCTGATTGCTGTCATTACACAATCCTTTCCTGCCTGTCACTAAGTAGGTACTTGGTCTCCAGCAATCCCCTGAGTTGTGGCGAATTGGGATGTTTCCTCCTTGGCTAGTACCATCAGGTGCTTCCAAATGTAATCTAGCCAATATATCCAACGAGGTGGTGTTGGGGGGAGTGTAGGAGGCACCCTTGCCAATGTTTCCTCTGAGGAATCTGTGTACTTTCTTCCTCAGAGGTGCCGAAGGGGATGTTTCGGTGGTGACACCCCCTTGCATGAGGGGATTGTGGATCTGAAGCTGCTACCTGCATGACATAAATTAAGCATTGAAGGTGTCACAGACAGGGCTTATAATGTGTGGCAGGTGGAAACCACAATGGCAGTCAAATCAGTATGAGAGTTACACTGCAAGGAACCTTGCTGCTTCCTCAATTGGTGGGACATGGATATTTTGGTATCTCTGCAGGAGTGGTCCTGGACCTCTCTGGCCTGTGCCAGCATCCTCTCCTTGTAGGGGGTGAGCAGGCAAATGACCCTACACTCTGTCCTGGCTTTTTTGGTCCCGTTAAGTGCCATTTTCTCCTGAAATGAGAGAAAGAGAGGGATTGAGTGAAGAGCGTAGCTGGCCCAGCTGTTAATGTTGTTGCATATTAAGGCTGTGGTGACCAGAGAGAGGGAATAGGAAGTGGACAGGTCATGCAGGGTTAGTAGATCGGGATGTTGGGTGAGAGTGAATGAGAGAAGATGATACAAGCAATATTGAGAGATGAGCCTTGGTAGGAGATAGGAGCTTTAGCAGAGATAGTATGAAGTAGTTGTGGGGAGATGTTGGCACTTAGCCTGGCAGGGCAGAGAAATTCACTAACCTTCATGCACCACTGCTGGGCTTCTCACCAGATGGTTGAGAATGCACTGACCAGGTTAGCAACCTTAGCCCAGCCTGGCAGGGCCTGGTGTCGTGGCCTCCGCTGGTGTTCCTGGGGTAAGAAACTGGCTGTCCTCTGTAACACCTCATTCATCAAGTTGTTAAGGTTCTGTCAGCCAATCATACCATGCCCTCTGGGAGTGTGTGCAATTGTGCAGGGCAATTTCAGAACACTGGTGCTTTTCCTGGTGTGCAAAAGTGTTTTAAAGATGGTGCCAGTATCGGGGATTCTATCTATTGGAGGATATCTGACCAGTCGAGAGTTCTTTTGGCTACATAAAATGTTGAATCCAGTTGCCAATGAATGAAAAAGCTACCATAAAGGTAGGGTAGGTAACAGTTCCTGAGGTGAATTTGGAATGGTATTATGAGAAAACTTCAATGAAACTTGATTAAAGTACCACTTTGTTGAAATATGGTAAGATTCAGTCCAGAGAATCTGGCATTTTGTAACATCACTGCTTGTAGGAACTCATTGGGAGCAAATTGACTGCTACATTTCCTACACTTCAAAATGACTACAATTTGAAGATATTTCACTGACTAAAAAACGCTTTGTGATATCTTGTGGTTATGAAAGGCAGCACTGAAGTAAATATAAGAGAGGAGGTGATGTTAATTTGAGCAGTGATGGCAGAGAATTAAACCTTTTAGTGTGATGACATTCCTTTAAAATTGGAAATCATGTCTGGGAAATTGTAGGTTTCTTAACTTGATATTTCCAATGGCAAAATCTTTGTGGCTTGTTATAACGGAAATAGTCTACAGACATCTAGGAAAAGCAAAGGCTATAAATCCAAGTCAATGTAAGATATTAAAGGCAGGTATTATTTACTGGAATTTTGCAAGAAATTCCAGATACCACATTTTAAGATGTCACTTTAAGCAGTCTGCAGTTGAAGTAAGTAACAAATAGAAGGCTCAATTCAAATGTTGCCAATATAACTTGTGTGCCAATCAGAATTTTTTCAGTTGTTAAATATTCTTGCCCATATTGATGCGATGTATGTGAGGACACTGTGCATAATTCACCTGAATAAGAAGGACATCCTTTCTGTTGCAAATAAATGGTCTGAAAATGTTCCGCTGTCTGCCTAGACTGTCTGCCCTCCTGATTGAGTCAGTTGTATATGGGAATTTCTGAGAATGAAGAAACTTTCTAGTCTATAAGAGGAGATGTTGTTGAATGAAATTTCATATAACATTTTGTTTCCTTCATTTAATGCCTTAACTACTTTTCCCATAAACTTCTTGGTTCATCAGGGGCCGAGAAATAAAAGTGATTTAAAGAATTAAAGAACTTCTAGAAATTTAGAAATTCTTGAGGGGCATGGATGGGGTGAATAGTCAAAGTCTTTTCCCCAGGATAGGGGAGTCCAAAACTAGAGGGCATAGGTTTAATGTGAGAGGGGTAAGATTTAAAAAAGACCTAAGGGGCAACTTTTTCACACAGAGGGTGGTGCTGGTATGGAATGAGCTACAAGAGGAAGTGGTGGAGGATGGTACAATTACAATATTTATATGGCATCTGGATGGGTATGTGAATAGGAAGGGTTTTGAGGGATAGGGGGCAAATGCTGGCAAATGGGATTAGATTAATTTAGGGTATCTGGTCGGTATGGATGAATTTGACCAAAGGATCTGTTTCCTTGCTGTACAGCTCTATGACCCTATAACTGTGAATGCTGGAAATCAGAAACAAAAACAGAAATTGTTGGAAAAACTCGGCAGATCTGGCATGAATATTAGATAAAATTTCAGAAGTGCTTACGACAGAAGATTTACGGGGATATAGATGTATAAAGCCAGATTACAACCATATGCAAGTGAATCTCATTCACAGAATCATAGAAAGACACAGTACAGAAGGAGATCATTTGGCCTATCATACCTCTGCTACCTTTTTGAAAGAATGATCCAATTTACTTTACTGTTTTATTCTTTCATCATTACCAGGCACATTGTTTCCCTTTTGAAAGTTGTTGTTGAATCTGCTTCTTCCGTTCTCTCAAGCAATGCATTCAAATCAATAACAAATCACTGCATAAAATTAAGTTTCACCTTATTACCTCTGGGGCTTTTTTTAGAAGTTCCCCTTTAATCCATTCACCATCCTGACTTGGAAGTATGTCGTCATTCCTTCGCTGTTGCTTGGTCAAAGAATGGAACCCCCCTCCCTACAGTAGTAGCCTGTACTTAACCACAACCACCACCACCACACATGCACCCACCCCAACCACCACCATCACCATGAACTTCCCAACCAGCGTCCCAAAGGCAGTTAGGAATAGGTAATACATACTGCCCTAACCAGCAACACCCATATCCTATGAAAATTTAAAGAAAGAATTTAGATCTCTTTCCTCTGGTTACTGACCTTTCTGCAATTGAAAATAGTTTGTCGTTATTTACATTATTAAAATTCTTCACAGTTTTGAAGACTTCTACCATACCTTCTGAGAAAATGCTCTGAGAAAATTAATCCCACTTTTTCCAAATTTCCCACATAACTGGAGTGCTTCATACCTGGTACCGTTCTAGCAAATTCTTCTGCTTTTTCTAAAGTTGCTGTACAGAATTGGCCATAATACTCTAACTGCAGCCTAGCCAGTATTTTTGTAAGGATTAACATAAATTATTTGTTGTCATCCCCTACGGTCTTATTAATAAAGTCATGGAACATGTTTTCCTTTTTGATGGCATTCAAAACTTTTGTGATATTTGTTAATTCCTCCAAGACTCTGAAAGAGATTAAGATAATTGAGTGAATGAAGAAGCATGCTTCCCTAGGCTTCTGCAAGCAGGAAACTCTGGTGTATGAGATCATGATTTCCCACTTCCAAGTACTGTAAATTATGATCTAATTCCTTCATGTAATGTGCCAATAAATTCTGGAATTTTGGTTTGATTTTGATAGTTTGCTGAAGAAAGCAAATGGAGTCCAAAGATGTGCAGGTTTGGCGGATTGGCCATGCTAAATTGCCCATAGTGTCCAGGGTTGTGCAGGCTAGGTGGAAAAGCCATGGGAAATGTGGGGTTGCAGGGATGAGGTGGCGGGGATGGGTCTGCCTGGGGTGCTCTTTGGATGGCTGGTGTGGACTGAATGGGCTAAATGGTCTGCTTCCATGCTGTAGGGATTCTATTGATTAGTCTATGACCTATGAATCGGACGGTGATTGCAAAAGATGACTTTCAGTGGCACTGTGAAAGATGATATTGTCCCAACTCCATAGTGTTGTGTTGTTTATTCTCATGGGAAGGTGTTTAAAAGATAACATGATAATGGCAGTCACATCCATACTTCGCTGGAAAATAAAATGAGTAAATGATAAAATGTAATGCCACCCTTACACTACACTGGATGATACTGGGTGGAATCTCCCCAAGCACTAAATAATGAGAGCATTGGCGAGAAATTTGGGAAAATAGGTTGAGACGGCCAGCAAGGAGCTTCTTAATGCTGAGAATAAAAAGTTACATTTTCCAACCAAGCATTGAATGGCGAGATAAAACTCGTGTTAGTGAGCAGTGACAGACCTATTTGAATGTAGTACCATGTATTAACATCTCATTATTACCTAATCTAGCCTCATTAGGATCATAGGAACTGAAGTAGACCATTCTGCCCATCAAGCCTGCTCCACCATTCAACACAATCATGGCTGATTGAACAGTTGAATGCCTTTTACCCACACTATCCCCATAACCTTTTATGCCATCGATAAACAAAAATTTAGCAACTTCTACTTCAAAGATAATCAAATACAAAGGACTTCTGTGGTAAAGAATTCCAAAGATTTACCATTGTCTGAGTAAAACAATTTCTCCTCATCTCAGACCTAAATGGCATCCACTTATTTTTAAATTGCGCCTCCTGGTTCCAGACTCCTCAATTTATGGAACCATTTTACCTTAATCCACCCTGTCAATCACTTTTAAGTGTTTGAAGATTGCAATGAGATTACCACTCATTCTTTGCAAGTGTAGAGAATATAAGCCCAGTTTGCCTTATCTCTTTTTTAAGACAGTCCACTATTTTGGGAACAAGTCTGATGAACCTTCTTTGAACTCCCTCTATAGTAACAATATCTTACCTGATATTATGATATATTCTTGATATGGAGTTTCCATTCTCCCACCTGCCGGATACAAACTAGACAGCGATAATTCCTTATTTGAAAATAAGAGCAGCTACCTTACTCCGGCTCCTTGCTTACTCCTCCAGCTCTCCATCTTGGATACCAGTCGCCAGTGTTTTAGGGCATACTCCATAGGCAGCGATTACAAGCACACCCATCCATGGACCTTGTCATCTGACACATACCAGTGCACCAGTCTCACCATACCCTCATGGCACACCATTTACAAGGTGGTTCTGCACTTCAATGCTTCACTTTGGAGTGCACTGGCACTGACCATTGCATTGTTACAGAACGGACACTTTGCACACAGGCACTTATCTCAGGGCTCCTCACTTACTCCTCTAACACCCACTCAATGTGTGCCTGCTTGGGTGCTCACAGCATCCTTGCCTTGCCTTTTCGTGCTTCCCCATAATTCCGCCCACCCACCCACCACACCCCCCACCCCCCAACATTTAGCCAAAGTTTAAATGGCTCACAGTGTTTCCGTCTTGCCTTGCCTTTTAGCACAGACAAAAGCCTGTTAGATTGTCATGGTTGTCAGCTGGAATCAGTCAATGGAATAGACATGTTGCAGTGCATCATTGTACTATTTCATTCTCACATCTGCAGCTTGTGCCAGCAGCTATGTGGCAACACACGCTGCATATGCATCAACAAAACGGCTATGACTCAAAGTCTAAGCGGAGTAGACCTCCGTCAGGTCAAGGGAGACACAGGAGTTCCAGCACGGTAAGTCGAGGGTAGGCTCTGATATTAGTCAAGGGGCTGGGCACGGTAAGCTTGTGGTGGCCAGTATCAGGGATCTGTACTTCTACAGGCCAGGGTGCATGTCACAATCAGTCCTGTGGGTCCGGTGCAACCAGTAAGTCATTGGGGGAACTGCACAGAAATGAGGCAGAGGTCTGGTCAGTCATTAGTCAGGCTGTCTGATCTAGTGGGTTTAGGGGCTGGTCCACAATCAGTGCTGGGGGTCTGTCCACTATAGGTCAAGGTGAGTTGCTTTGGGGGAAGCTGGGGAACTTAATTGTTGGGATTGGAGGCAGAGGGAATAATCATTGTGAAAGGGGAACTCAACATATAAGGGCAGTGTCTTGAATTGCAGGGTGTATCCAAGTGGTTCTTTTCGGATTCTGTTAAATGTAGCTAAGAGAAGGCTTGACAACAGCAATTTGCTTATATTCCAACGTATATTGAGTAATGACAAAAGACAAAAAGGAATATTTATTAAGTAAATAAAAAGAATAAAAAAGAAAGGGAAAAAAAACAAAAAGCCTCATGCCCTTCTGCCCGTCAGCGACCCCTCAATCAATAGCTGGTCTGGAGACTGAGGTTGTTCCTGGCAATGTTCACGATCCCAGTCCGAGGTGAAGTCCAGCAACACAGAACGAGACTCTTCTCTCTTAGACAGTGTAACAAACAGCAAGGCACAGAAAAAAACTACGGAAAAACACGTGATTATGCTGGCATTGGCACCTACAGGAATGTTCACAGGACTCATTCAAGGTCGTGGATCTATTGAATATCATCAACAAGTGTAGCCCTTCAGCCCATCCTATACAGGTAGGAATCGGCTGAGAACAAGATGCAAAATCTTGATACCCTCAAAACTTGTAAAAACTGGTTTGACCACAATTAGAGATAATGGATTCAGTGATTTTGTTATTTTCCAAAATCCCTTAGATTCTGGAAGGATCCCAGAGGATCGGAAAACTGAAATGTTAACACAGCATCCTGCTTGCATGTCCATGTATCTGCCTTTGGCATGCTGCAGTGTTCCAGTGAATCACAGTGCAAACCAGAGGAACAACATCTCATTTTCAGACTAGGCACTTTACAACCTTCTGGACTTAATACGGAGTTCAACACTTCAGATTGTGATCTCACTCCCATTTCTTCCCTTTCTTTCAGCATTACCTGTTATATTCTCTGTCACCATGTCCTCTCTCCCTTCCCACCACCCCGGTGGAATCATCTGTTCTTTCCAGTTTGGCAGTTGGACACATTCTGTCATTCTCACATTCCGATACTGCATAATTACTGTCCCCTTCCACACTTCATGTCAGCACTTATGAAGAGTCATCTAGACTCGAAATGTTAGTTTCCTCTCTCTCTCCATGGATGCTGCCTGACCCACTATGATTTCCAGCATTTTGTGTTTTCAGTGAAAATGTTACATGTCCATTTTGAAGCCTAAAGCTCAATAGTAATAGGTAACAGATATATTTCTACATCAATTTTCCAAGAGTGCAGAAATTTTTATTTCAAAAATTAATCCAAAATATCCAGTGTATCAAGTAGAACACTACTTCTCAAAGATGCATCTCCTTTCTTTTTCCTTCAGTTGTCCCTCCCCATGAAGGCAGGCCCCACTATGGGCAGATATGCCAATTTAGAATCTTGATAGTTCACAACTTCAGTTCTTTTTGGATGTTCACTCTTGAGATTATCCACGAATATTCTAACATTCCTAGAAGTAAAATTTACAGATTTGTTTTCTTTTGTTTTGGAATCTGGTGATCTTGATGGGTGTGGTTCTCAAGACAGGAAAAAGTGGGATTGACTATTTTTATGTACGTTTTTCTATCTTATCCCATTTGGGGTGAATAAAGGCCTGAATGAGGCCTACTTAGTAAAAGATGTTGCTGCTGAATGTCCCCACACAGGTGGACCAACACCTTTATGCATCTCATTCAAAGTAGTCACTGGAAATCTGAAATGAAAAGATTAAGTGGTGAAAAAACTCAGAAGTCTGGAAAAAACAGTAGAGAGAGGAATGGAGCTTAGTTTTGAGTTCAATATGACTTTGGAACTGAAGAGAGAGGTGGAAAAGTGATGGAACAGAAGGGAAGTCAGGTGTAGTTTAGAGGGCAAGTAAGATTAGAAATCACTAGTAGCATAGAATAAAAACAATCAAAAGGAACAGTAATAGTTGTAAAGGAAATAGAGCCATATTATTAGCAGGTGGTAATGGCAGAATATAGGACAGTTCTGTAGAAAGCTAAACCAAGAATACCAGATATTGGAGCAGCATGGTAGACTAAATAGAGAATGGAGTTTGTGCTGAGAAGTTTTTGAACTCAATGTTGAGTCCAGAATGCTAAGTACCTAAACGTAAAGGAGGTATTGTTCCTCCACCTTGCATTGGACTTCACTGGAACACCTCAGCAGAACGAGAATAGGAATTTGAGCATGAGGGTAGGATGGTGTATGAAATTAGTTAGCAACTGGAAGGTCAAGTCCTCATTGTTGACTTGAGTGGATATGTTCCACAAGGTAGTCACTCAAACTCTGTTTGGTCTCCCCATTGTCTAGTACACTGTATTGGGAGCAGTGAATACAATGGATCAGATAGTAAGAATTCCAGGTAACTGGAAAGAATCATTTGGAACTTCAACTGTAAGGAAGGAGGATGTAAAACGACTGGTGTTACACGATACAATTGCCATGGGTGGGGAGGTGAGCTATTGGGGGTGATAGAGTCATGGAATTTAGAGGATGGCAACAGGCTCTTCAGCCCAACTTGTCCATGCTGGACAAGGAAGGGTCACCAGACCCGAAACATTAACTCTGTTTTCTCCTCCACAGATGCTGCCAGACTTGCTGAGCTTTTCCAGCAACTTTGTTTTTGTCCATGCTGACCAGTTTCCTAAACTGAACAAGTTCAATTTGGCTGCATTTGGCCCATATCCCACAAAACTTTTCCTATCCATCTACCTGTTGAAATGTCTCTAAATGTTATAATTTACCTGCCTCTACCACTTCCTCTGGCAGCTCGTTCCACATACACACCAACCTCTATGTGAATAAGTTGCCCCACTGGTCCCTTTTCCCCCTCTCACCTTAAACCTGTGCCCTTGTAGCTTTGGGCTCGCCCACCCTGGGGAAAAAGACCTTGGCTATTCACCCTATCCGTGCCCCTCATGATTTTATAAACCTCAGCTTCCTATGGTCCAGGGAAAAAAGTCCCAGTCTGTATTATGAATCAAACCCTCCAGGCTTGGTAACATCCTTGCAAATCTTTTTTGCACCCTTTCCAGTGTAATAACATCCTTCCTACAGCAGGAAGAAGAAAGGTCACTGGGGCGGAAACACTGACTCTGATTTCTGTCCATAGGTGCTGCTAGATCGGCTGAGATCCCTCAGCAAGTTCTCTTTCCGTTATCTCTCCAATCTCCATATCCACCTGGTAATCTCCATATCCACCTGGTGATCTCCAACGATGATCCCTGATTTGCTGCGGCCATTGGCTGAAATCCCAGCGCCCACGATGCAACGCGCCGCGACCCCGCCCGCCGATTGGCTGAGACCCGCCGGTCCGCCCCAGGATTGGCTGAGCCGTTAGGTCAGCCTATTGGCGGAGCGAAGCGCCCGGTCAGTGATTGGCGGAGAGCGCCGCGGGGCCTCGGTTGCCGTGGAGACGCGGCCTGGCCGCTGCGGGAGGGAAGACAGGGGCAACGGTTTGAGATCGTTAAACGTTTCCCTTCCCTCCCCGCCGCTGTCTGTGCGGTGGCTGCTGTCAACCATGTTCATCTACTTGAGCAAGAAGGTGAGACGGCGGCTGGCTCGCTCCGTTACTTTTTTTTTAAATTTTAAACTGCAACGGCCGGTGCTGTGCTCGCGCGCCAGCCCTGCGTGCAGAAGCTGCTTCTTGTTCGCGAATCACTTCGGTCCCAGTATCTTTCAGTTGTTCGTGTTGTACATATGGTTTTACTCGCACGGGGTGATTTGTCATTCCACACGGTGGGTCTCCCAACTTCTAATCCACTTCCTACAGACAAAGGGGGTGGCCCTGGGTACCCGCATGGGCCCAAGCTACGCCTGCCTCTTTGTAGGTTACGTGGAACAGTCCCTCTACACCGGCCCTAAACCCCACCTCTTCCTCCGTTACATTGATGACTGTATCGGCCCCGCCTCGTGCTCCCACGAGGAGCTCGAACAGTTCATCTACTTCACTAACACCTTCCACCCCAACCTTAAGTTCACCTGGACCATCTCTAACACCTCTCTCCCCTTCCTGGACCTCTCTGTCTCCATATCGGGCAACCACCTAGAAACCGATATTCATTTCAAACCCACAGACTCCCACAGCTACCTGGAATACTCCTCCTCCCACCCACCTTCCTGCAAAAATGCTATCCCCTATTCCCAATTCCTTCGACTCCGCCGCATCTGCTCCCAGGATGAGGCATTCCACTCCCGTACATCTCAGATGTCCTCGTTTTTCAAGGACTGCAACGTTCCCCCCCCTCAGTGGTCAAGAACGCCCTCGACCGTGTCTTCCGCATCTCCTGCAACTCATCCCTCACACCCCGCCCCCGCAATAACAACCAAAACAGAATCCCCCTCGTCCTCACGTATCACCCCACCAACCTCTGGATCCAACACATCATCCTCCGACACTTCCGCCATCTGCAATCTGACCCCACCACCAAAGACATTTTTCCCTCCCCACCCTTATCTGCTTTCTGAAGGGACCACTCTCTCCGGGACTCCCTCGTCTGCTCCACACTCCCCTCCAGCCCCACTACACCCGGCACTTTTCCCTGCAACCGCAGGAAGTGCTATACCTGCCCCTACACCTCACCCCTCACGCCCATCCCAGGCCCCAAGAAGACTTTCCACATCTGCACATCTGCTAATGTGGTATACTTCATCGGCTGTTCCTGTTGTGGCCTCCTCTACATCGGGGAAACCAAGCGGAGGCTTGGGGACCACTTTGCAGAACACCGACGCTCGGTTCGCACTAAACAACTGCACCTTCCAGTCGCGAACCATTTCAACTCCCCCCTCCCATTCCTCAGACGATGTGTCTGTCCTGGGCCTCCTGCAGTGCCACAACGATGCCACCCAAAGGTTGCAGGAACAGCACCTCATGTTCCGCTTGGGAACCCTGCAGCCCAGTGGTATCAATGTGGACTTCACAAGCTTCAAAATCTCCCCTCGCCCTACCGCATCCCAAAACCAGCCTAGCTTGTCCCCGCCTCCCTAACCTGCCCTTCCTCCCACCTCAAGCCCCACCCCCATTTCCTACCTACTAACCTCATCTCGCCCCCTTGACCTGTCTGTCCTCCCTGGACTGACCATCTCCTCCCTAACTCCCCACCTACACTCACCTTTGCTGGCTCCATTCCCGCCTCTTTGGCCTGTCTGTCTCCTCTCCACCTATCTTCTCTTCTATCCATCTTCTATCCACCTCCCCCTCGCTCCCTATTTATTTCAG